CTTATTTTACTCTGCCTGCCAGGAAGGTTCAAGTGGAATGTTGTGCTCAATCACACATTCAGTGTTTTACTGTCTTTATTGCAGGAACTGGAGTCAGAAAGCCTCAGTTTGAATCCTAGCTTCAATATTTACTATCAGGTGGCTTTTTGGCAAGTTAGTGACCCCTTCCATGTCTCAGTTTCCTCATTTATAAAATGGAGACAAAAGTATTATTACCTTGTACACACAAAGCCAGTAAAATGGTGTGTGAACTTTGGTGAACTATTTCTCTACTTTAGTAATTTGTGTGGGTTCAATTACATTGTCAAACCACTTTTCAGAAAGGACTCAAGGATGTTATATGCCTGCCCTGCCTCATCTTACCACACTTCATTCACTACCTGCTCTTGGCAGCTTCCACTCCTGACAGTATCTGTCACATCCCACTGACCTTTTAATTATATAAAATTTCTCTTAGTGCTACCTCAAACCCTAGGTGCCTCACTATATAATCTGTGTGTGACACTTAAGAAATGAAGAAAGGAAAAATAAAGATATGACCAATTCCCAAACACTATCCAATTTCAAAGCTGATCACTGTGGAGGGGTAAAAATGTTAACTTTTAATGCAGGAACGTGGTAAGAATGATCCTTTATCCTAACTTGGGCCCATCCTGGCCATGAGTTGTGCCTGTTCTTTCTAGGGCACTTTATCAGTTGACCAGGATTACCTTTCCTCCTCAACCAGTCTGGCCTCCAGGACTCTGGGGCACTGCCATCCTGGCAGCTGGTGTTTCTGCTGGATCAGCTCCAGGCAAACTGAGTCTGACTTTGTCCAGACCAGCTGTGTACGGGGCTCAGATTCCCTTGGACTGTGCCACTTGGAACCTGACCTGGCAGTGACTTTCAAGCCAGTGGCTACTGGGTTAGCCGATTTCCACACTCCAGCGATTGCTCTACAGATTCCTGCTTCAGCCTGTCTCAATCAGACTGTTCATGTGGGCAATAAAAACTATTTGTTTTAGATAAATTCCTAAGGAGAGCAATGGAAGGGGAAAAACTACCCAACAGCCAGGACCGTTTTCCCAGGCAGTGGGCAAAAGACAGAACTAACAGTCATTTTTTTGTATTGTTGTTTGCATGGGTTTCAGTTACCAAATTATATTTGGAGTGATTCTATGTTCATTTTTCCCCATGATCCAGGAAAAGGCGGGTGGGCATGTTGGGAAAGGTTAAACTGACATGATGCATGATCCCAGAAGGTTGGCAGACACAGGCAGGGAGGGTGTCCGTTGAGTGCCTGTCCTAAAGCAGTGCCCAACCATGGTCATTGTGGAAAGAAACAGGGCTTTGGAGACAGAATAATCCAAATCTAAATCCTGAATGCCCACTGCTTAACCTTGAGGATAAGTTAGTCACTCTGAACTTCCAGCTATGAATGGAGAAAATACAGCTTCAGAGCTATTTGGAAATGCACCAGGAATAGCAAAGAGCAAAAAGCCCGTCCGTGTTCAACATAGGGCAGTGACACGCATCGAATGCCTACCATGTATCCAGCACTGTGCAGATAGAAAAGCTAAACTCTACTCGTGTGGGAAAGCTATGATTACATTTTTTAATACCAATGCTCCAAAAGTTCTAAGATGCTAAGCAGCATCACCCCCCTCTTTCTTGGGACTGTGGCCTCAGCTGGCACTTCTGCAAAGCCTTCTGGGCAGCAGGCCCTGGGCTGAGACACTGGGCCAACCTGCTATATGAACATCCTCTTGATCTGAGGCCAGACGGGGCCAAGCCTAGAAGGCTGGCTACTTACCCAGTGTTGGGCAGCGTGACCCAGACTGCGAGGGAGTGGCTGTTGCTTCCCAACACAAGCAGGATGGCCCACCCCAGAGCCTCTCATCCGAACTCCCCAGCCCAGGGTTACTTCTGTGCCTGCTGCTCAGGAACCACTCTCATTTTTCCATGGCTCGAACCCCAGTCACTGGGACTCGGGGAGAGCCCGGAGATGACAGGAACCCCTCAGGTGGGAGGCATTGGACTTCTCAATGAGGCGCCTACGCCTAAGGAGCCTTAACTAGCAACAGGGTGTTATCTGTAAGGCTAATGGGCGATGTGGAAATTAAAATTGAAAAGTGGCAAAGCCACTTTGTACAGGTGCAGTTCTCTGTGAATCCCAGAGGCCATCTAGGTAATAGGTAATAAATTCAAATAGCTACAAGATTTGTGATGCCATAAAATTGAGTAAAACAAGGGAAATGGGCTCATCTTCACAAAATAAGGGATGATGGGCATGTGGGGGTGGCGGGCAGGACAGCAAGCCACTAAGCTCAACTGGAATCATTTGAGAACCTGAAACCTATGTAATTCCTACTGTATAGCACCCTTAGGGTCTTCGAGGTGGGAAAATGACTGAGAAATACTAAGAAATGGGTTGTGTGTGCCTCAGTAGAAGCTTTAAGGAAGCAGCCCTGGCAGCCCTACACCAAGCATGACTTGTCCTCTTCCCTGCCAATTCCTGAGATGGACTCTTGAGTCATGACTTAGGACTCACTTCCCATTTTGTGGTAGTTTAGCACCATATAGTTGGCTCATTTAATGCAAAAGTATGTCTTTATGGCTTCCATTTCCTATTAGGCTCATTCCTTGCTTTTTTATTACCATCTTTCTCAGGTTCTTTAAATATTCATTGTTCCTATCAACAATTGGAGATGTATCCTCAGACCTTCACCACTGCTTCATCTCCTGCCTTTGTGAACTGCCATGGGCAAAATCTGACCCATATCAACATCAGGGGCATTGGCCAAGTGGACTTCCACAAGTCTAACAGTGGGCATCTCATCCACAAGTGTGGGCCACTGACGAGAGAACCAGGAAGAGTTGGAAGAGGCAGCTGAGAGGGACAGGGGCTCCTTCAAGTATGGCCGAGTGCTGGACGAGCTGCAGATGGAAAGAGCACATCATCACAACTGACATCTCCCCGTGGAAGTTTGAGATCAGCATCAGACCGGACTTCATCAGATCCTCTGCATGTCCCAGGTTAAGTGCCAATGCTCATCATGGTGTGCAGCAATGGTGTTTTAGGGCATATCTAAGAAGAGGCAAACCCACACCTGCTGTCTGACATGTTGGGCACCAAGCAGATGATTGTGCTTGCCAACAAGATGCACTCGACTAAACACTGGAGCACTGAAGACTTCCAGGTCACCCAGGAGGTTGCTTACCTCATGTTTCAATCCAGCTGCTGTGACCTTGTGCCCATCTTGGGCCTGGCACGGTGACATCATGCCGGAGCCTAACATCAGTGCTCCTGACCCGGTGTCCAGGGCTGGACATTTGAAAGAGGGGAATGCCCCAGGTATGAGGTAACTGGAGGTGCGGGGCGTCTCCTCTTAAGTAACTCACTGTCAACAAGCCCTTGCAGTACCTTGGTTGGATGTGTACAAAATCAGAGGTACTGGCATGGTGCTTATAAGCCAAATAGAAATGAGCTTCCTGAAGCCCAGGGCAGTGGACACCATTGCCTCCTACCTCACCACAAAGATCAAAGTCTCTGAAGCTCTTTTGGCTAAAGGCAAGTTATATATAGCTCTTCCTATCAAACATCATGTCGTTAACATAAGCCAAGATTCTGAAGACCATTTCTTCAGGTTGTACTGTATTATTACTGTAGCTCTTACTTTTGAGGGGAAAGGATTTAAAAACAAAAGCTAGTATATTCCAATTGATCTTTGTCTGATTTTGAATCTGACATAATAGCAAACCCATATGCAACTACTGTAGCTACCTGTGTTTTATAGTCAATACATTCTATAGTTAAGATGCACTTAGATCAAATCAGAGCCTCATCAGAAATACGTGGACATGGCTTGTCACCCAAAACCTTTCATTCTGATTAACCCTTAAGTTGATTCACTGCCCGAGTTTCTGGCTCATGAGAAAATGCTTTGCTTTTCTTATCCTAGTACTGACTAGCTCTCAGGCAAGTCTGTTTCCATCAGTTTCTACCCTTATGCATGCTAGTATAGTCCAGTCAGTTTTACTTAGTCTTGCTGCCCCAAGGGAGTGCAAGGCAAATGGAATCCAATTTACCTTAATCACAAGCAGGTAGGGAAATTCAAGCATCATAAACTTAAGATTTACCAACCTAAGATCAAGCTGTGGTCTTAAAGTGATCTCAAGTCACTTCATTATTTTTTTCTTATTTTCTCATTTTTCTTTCTTTTTAAGTCACTTGAAACTTGCAATTGCAAAAGGCTAGCTTAGACTATGGAGGCATCTCCCTAATTTCACATGCCACCATATGACCACTAAAATAGTAAATCAAATCTGGACATAAAAGCTCTCTTGCCAATTCTCCAAATGACATGCTTATAAGCAAAACATGTAAATTTTTTCAAGAAGTAGCTTAAAGTCATGAAGCTGTAAGCCAACAACTACCTTTCTTTGCTTACTCAGTCTATATATTATTACCCTTTTAGTACCTCCTCCCTCATAGACACACAGAATAATAAAGCTTATTTTTACCTGACTTATGTCTGCAATCTACCTTTCATTCTGCATTATGGTTTTCATGGGTGTTATGTAGCAAGCAATTCTGGCCTTCTCAGAAAACTCTTCCTGAAGCACTATTTTTATTTGATTCTGTATATTGGCTAGAGAGTAATAATTAATGGTGTGAAGAGTAAGTAATGGTATTCTGTTTTTGAAATTATAAAGTAGATGTAATACAAAATAAAATGCAAAAGGATCACCTCAGGTTTAAAGGTGCAATGCTTTTTGTGCCTTTAAAAAGAAAAATTCGGGTGATTCTTAAGAACGAAAAACTTCCAGTTAAGTTCCCAGAACAAACCAATGTAAAAAAGTTGTTGCATGCATGAAATCTAAAGTAGTGTCTTATACGTGTGCTGATTTTTTATCGTCCTTCTTGCTTAATTTGTTTGTGATGCTCCATCAACCTTACAATGAAGACAGACAAAAATCATTAAATCTTTCAACATATTTAAGAAACATGCAAACAGTGATTCTTTTAAACCAATCTTTAATTAAAAAATGCAACAAAAAATATAATGAAACATCTTATATATTGTATACATTATTAATATCTGCAGGTAAGATAAATAACAGAAAGCAAAAGTATGTATACCATTTGCTCCTTTTTTGGCAAGTCACCAATATTATCTATCTCCTTGCAGAAACATAGGATACATGTAAAAAAGCCAAAAAAAAAAAAAGCAAAAAAAGAAACTGTCTTAAAAAATAACTGTCCCTTAGTACAAACAAAATATTTAGCAATGATACAGTAGATGGGCCTCCAAACTAAGATTTATAATTCTTTATGCCACAAAGGTTAAAGTAGTAAGTGTTCCAAAACTAATGTCCATAGCGGTATTCAGGGGGAAAGAAGACACCCTTTTTTTCTAGTTATAGCCTGGATGACTTTAAAGTAAAACTCTACCAGCTTAGAAGACATTCCTAAGGAAAACAAAATCCTTTCCCTATAGAAAGACTGCATTTTACTTGTAGGTCAGTTGTCTGGTGTTCCACCCCCACCCCCCCAGCCAAATACACATTTGAGGCAATTTAGCTTTTTAAGATATTTACTATCTAGTGCAGTGTACCAGAATAAAAGAAATTCCTTCCACTTTACAACAAAGATACATATTTGTGGCTCTACAAAAGCAATACATATACATGCCAGAACTAAAAATTAGAAAAGCAAAAGGGTCCATTCAACACTTAGCAGCTTATATCTAAAATATACATGTATGTATATGTTTTCACAGTTAGATCTTAGGAAAAAATTTACACTTGTATGTGTGGAAATATTTCTCCTACAGTCTATAAATAATAACTGATCAAAACGCAATACAAGAATGTATCAAATTAAATAAGTCTAAACCTTGAAAAAGATAGTTGAAGTCAGTAAAGCTTGAGGTTTGTGTGAAGTGTTGTCAGTCCCTACTATGGGGGGTGCGGGTGGGGGGAGGTGGTGCAGGAGCTTCTAAATTCGATAAGAGAGAAACTCCAAAACTTTGGAAGGAATTGGCAGATCCTGGACTTCCTGGGTGGGCATTACTCTCCGGATTGACATACGACACAAATGCTGAAGACTAGGAACCTGCTTTGGAGTAGCCCAAAAATACACACTTCCATCATGTGTCCTAAACAACAACAGGAAAAAACACACACACACACAAAATCACAAAGTGAGTCACCCAAGTATATGTATTTCAGCATCCTAGAACTTAAACTATCATCCAAGGCCATATATAATTCATAATCAAGTTAACTGTACATTAAAGCACAAGAACTCTAACCAATAATCTTCTCTTGACAAGGTAATAGAGGATCTATTGCCAATAAGACTGGCTCCTTTGACTAAAAGTCACCTCAAACTGCCTCTCAAAAAAAGATAGGAAAATCTACTTACCCAGCAGCTAAAACACTGCCATCAGTAGAAAAGGCACAACAAAGACCATTGCTCAAAGGTGCAACTTGTACTGGATAATCCTCATCAATTCTCCAGAACCTCACCATTCTGGAAAAGAAATAAATCATCCAGGGTATATCTAATAGGATGTTTAAGGTATAAACAACTTTCAAAATTCAGGGAAAAAAAAAAAAAAGCCACTGTACTCTGAAGTCAAAACACACATACTAATGCAATAAATATTGCTTTAGAAATATTTTGGGGTCTACATCAATTGGTAATTTGTATCAACCCACACCTAAAGAGAAGACTATCTCACATAGTCTTCCCAGTGTTCAGAGCCATGATGCGCACCATTGGATATTCTCTTACTTTCTTATGTTTAAAACACAACCAATAATTTGGTCTCTTTACTCTCTATAACATCTACAAAGCTTTTACACTTAAGCAGAGTGTGCAGAAGACAGTAGAGAACAGGCATTCAGAATTTATTTGAACAAGCAGGAAAACAAAGACTGCTGGCAAAAAAAAAAAAATTCTGTGTGTCTGCTGACATTCTGGAGAAAGGTAAATCGCTTTCTAAATTGATGCGAAGCTTAATATAATATCCATGCATATGGTATGACAAAAGCATGAGAAAAATGGAATGACTAAAACTAGTTTCTGCTTCTTGTTAATAAAAAGCATCTCACCAATATGACATTTCATCTTGCTGTTTCACTTACAGCAGATACAAATTACTTCATTTTTAGCACTTGGTTTTAAAAATGTATTTCTGTGTCAACCTTTTAAGATTTACTGGAAAAAAAAAAACCATGAACTGGGCTAAATGGTAATAAAAATCTACCCAGTGTGCTAAATTAGTTACCAAACAAGGAATAAGAAGAAAAGGCATGCTTTATCTTTTGTTTTCATGGGTAATGTTCAGGTCAATATTTAGATATACTAACATTTCCCACGGTCTTGTCTCAAGAAAGAGATATTAAAACCCAAACTACAGGAAGGTTAAAAAAAAGCCAAGAATATTTTCATTAAGTGAAAGGATGAGAAAACACCAAGCAGGTCAAGCTGTAATTCATACACTTACTTATCATCAGCAAGGCTTGCAATATGTAGTCCGTCGTGACTAAAAGACACCGATCGTACCCATCGGTCATTTGCTCCTCCAGCAAATATTGGAGTAGGGGGGGGAAACAGGTGCCTAAGGTCAAGCATATTTTAGCGGGTATTATAAGAGTTTCTTCAAGAAATAAAACAACTCATGTACAAAATACATCCAATCTTTAAATAACCTTTAAAAAGTTCTTAATGAACACAACTGAGACAACTAAGTAGAGCTGGTATATACAAATTAAATGAAAAGAACCTTAAAAGAATTACCTATCTTTTTTTACAATTTGGTTTAAGACTTTGGTTCAACTTTAGTTTTCACATTTTCCCTCAACATAAAATTATACATAATTATCACTTCTGAGTCATGAACTAAAATAACAAGAGCTGTACTAAGAGTCAAACTTATTTTTAGAATTTATGTTTAAAGGTTTGCATGAATATGAACATCAAAGTTTTAATTATCACAGCACTACAATTTTTAACTTCAGGTGTTAGTGATTCTAATCTTTCATGTAATTTCTTAAAAGCTATACTGATAAGCAGAGATAAACTACAGATTAACCTATTTCATGCTACACTCACCCAAATTCTATCAGAATGTCTCCAGTATGTGGATCCCAGATATATACTCGAGTATCATAAGATGCAGTAGCCAGTAATGCTCCGTCAGGAGAAAAGTCACAAGCTACAACATCATGGTGATGTCCTTCAAGTTTCCGTATCATGGTATATTTATCCATATTCCAAAGGAAAACCTGCAATAAAAAGGAAAATGTTATAGCTTCATTCAGATACACAGAGGACAAAATGGCACATCTTAACTAAAACTGTTCAATTTAATTAAAGTATATAAAATTAAACATTATAAATTATGAATAATTAAAAGGAGAATATGCTCAGTGTCATAGATTAAAATCAGTCTTTAAAAGTTAATTAAAGTAGACATGCAAATTCTATTTCAAATGTTTCTGTTAAATGTTAATTTAAAAAATAAGCCTAAACATAAAAAAGGCAATGCAATTTAACCACAAAGTTATACTGAAATCCATTTATTCCAAAAACTAATTAACTAAAATATACAGAAATAAATAGGGTTAAGTACTACAAACCCCCTTTCTTTTTTTTTTTCCAGAAACTACCAAGTTTTTTTAAAAATATACAGACAGAAAACGTAAGGTTAACAAATTGTTACTCCATTGGCATCTCCCTTTGAGATAATCACTTGTTTACAATAGGCTTGGATCACCAACGTGAGCCTAGGAAGAGAAACAGATACTGCAAGCAAAGAGAATTTTCACAGCCAAATGAAATTTCTTTGGCAAACAACAAGGATGTTAAACCACATTACAAAATGCAAATGCTAATTTACAAAACAATACAATTAACATTTCTGTGAATCAAGACTTGCCAATCTTATTTTTCCCAAACTGACCACAATAGTTACTCATTTTAACTACACAAACATTTAAATTACTTAAGGACACGTTTATATATAGTTTCGATTTTAAAGAGCAATGCTGTGCAGAATAGCTCTAAGCAGGATTCTAATGTTTACTATAGTCTGTTATATTAAAGGTTAAATTTGGAGGTTTATAACAGTCCTAGAAAGATAATCTCTCCATTAGGAGTAAAGCAATCCATTTTGCTACATTTTTTTTTCTTCTGCACAGATACAATATATTATCCAAAGAAGAATAACACATTTTAAATTGGATCAAAGGCTTAAGGTATCTCTAGAATCTCAATGAATTCCAAAAAACTGCACAGAGAAACCATCTGAAAGCCAATTACATTATATTAAATTGGTTTCACATATTAGACTCCCAATTCCACCAGACTAGAAAGTCAATATACTTGGAGGAGTCAGTGGGTTTCACTGTGGGGAAAATTATTTTAAAAAAGAAAAAAAGAAAGAAAGAAAAGCAGAAAGTGGACATCGACCAGCACCTGTGTACGTACAGTACACCTTGCAGCCGAATGCAAGGTTACTTCATCCTATGGTAAAGGTCGCCCCCAGCCCGGTAGCCAGAGATGCCACTCTTTCTGCCCAGCTAACACCATTGTGCGCCTGTGTGCGAGTGGTGCCAGCATAACCTCAATCACACCAATATTGCTGCCACCACCTGTGACAGGGAAAGCAAGAAGCATATGGAAAACACACAGCCTAAAATAGCAATGTCAACATCTAGCTTTGTTGTTCTTATGATTTTTAAAGAACTAAACTATATCCCCCTAAGTTTGTAACATTTGCAACTATCAACATTATTCCTTAGCTAAATAAAATACATTTTAACCAGCCACCCACCTCCCGTAATTCAAAGTGTGATAAACACATGTACTTGGACTTCAATAGTTTTCATCTCTACCTGAAACTAGTAAGATCTCTTTAACCATACTGGTAGGTAGTAGTTCATCAATGAGTATAACCCTCTTAAGAGTCACTTTATACTTAATCTGTCTACAAGCATGCTATGCAAGACGGACCACATCAAATTTTACCTATAAACTCACTCTAGGACATACGTGAGTGCTATTTTTAAGTCACTTTATTTATTTATTTTTTCAGTTAAATGTCCAGGACCAAGCTGGGACTGAAAACTTTAAAACAGCAAACTGGACAAAAAAAAATAGAACAACAAAGAAGAAAATAATTAGCAAGGGAATGTCTTAACATTGGTCTAAATCTCTTCTAGAGCATATAAACTTTCTAGATCTTAGAGCAAATAAATGACATACCCTTTATTTTATATTATCTCTAACTAAAACGATCCAATCTCACTTCACAACTTATATTTAATTTCCCTCATGCATTCTCCCCATCATGAAATAAAACATTTAAGATATTCATGACACCGAGCACAGACTTAATAGGTTACTTAGATTTAAAATGATTATACACACATTATTATAATCCACTTCACAAGGACTGTACAAGAACTTTGATACGTACTGCTTTACTGGCTCCCACTGAACACAGCATAGAAGAGTCAGGAGAGAATGCACAGCTGTACACCCAGTTCTGATGGCCCCTCAATACTTTCATCATATTTCCTAACAAAAAGAAATACTTATTTTACCCTAGAATCCAAATTAATAGCATTTTAACACAGTAAAGCCAGAGAATCACAAACTTCTATTCCAAGTCATTTATATACAAAGGATGGCAATATGTGTCAGCGGCTTATCACTGTCAGTAGTTTTACTGCAACATAATCATGCCGGTGTGCTGATGCTGTGCTACAATGGCAGAGCTGAGGAACTTTAAAGAGCTGGCATGGCCCACAAGACTGAAACATTTACCAACTGTCCCTTTAAGGAAAAGTTTGTAGACCCTCCTTATAGAAGACTGAATTCTTTCAGTAAACCCCTATTCGAGCAATTAAAGAACTAGACCACTGCCAAGATTGGGACTGGATGAACATCTTTAAAATACCTTTCATTCTTTTCCCTTTTTGATACCATATGTAACATTGCAAGATCCCTATGCTTTATATCCAAGACACAGTTTTTAGTTTTAAAACCATTACTGACTGCCTACCAGATGCCAGACACTCAGATACAGCTATCTGTGAATAAGATAAAGTTCCTACTTTTTTACATTTTACTAAGTTCTTACATTTTACTAAGTCTACATTCTTAAAACATATATACAATTGAATATGTTGAGCTAAGAAAGCACCATCTAATATACAAAAGAAAAATTTAATCAAACTTTCAACTGTCGAATGCCTTCACTTAACTGAGTAATCAGAGAACTGATAAAATGCAGAGGAAGGAACGGTCACAGTTTGATAATAACAGCATATTATTTTTTCAAGCAATAGCTATTACCCAGAACGGAAACAAGTCTCCAAATTTGAAGGATTTTTCTAACTACATTCAGTTTAAGCTATATTATCCCAAAACAAGCCTGTCAAACTTCAGCTTGAGCATTAACAGATCTTATTTAAATATAAGGTCTTACTTAACACTATACATTTCTTCAATTGAGGCTAAAAGCAGGGAAGAGATGCTTATCTCTGGTTCTCTAAAAACAAGGTAACACTCCAAAAATAAGCATCACAGTTTTAAGTTTTCAGAAAAAGAGGAAAGTATATTATATTTGGAGGACAAATATTTCACATTTTATGGGTTTCTTAAATTTTCAAATGAAGCTTACAGTCCCCCCTAAGAAAAATGAACATAATCCAGTTCATATCAATTCCTCAAGCTGATTTTATCCTCAATGAGTTAATATAGATTTCTACGACTGGTTTCTGAATAATATCCAATTGTTTATTTACTTAGAATAACTGCTGGCTCCTATTCTGGGTCATATCTATGATTCTGCTTGATCTACACAGGAAATGAACCAAAGAATTAACCAGAGGAAAAAAAAAAGGCAACTTTGACCACATGCTACTTTCAAAGTCAAATGCCCCAAATGACACCCCAATACCTCTTAGTAATAGACTTTTCAGCCTGGATAAAAGACGTACCATCATCTTTCAGGTCCCACACTCTCAGAGTTTTGTCTCTTGAAGCTGACACTAGGATCAAGCTCCCATCTGGAGCAAAAGTTAAATCTCTGATCACTTCAGTATGATCTACCAGGTTAAGGAGGAGTTTTCCTAAAAGGAGGATGGAAGAGGAATAGACAACAATGGTAATTTTTAAAAAATTATTTAAAAAAAATTTAAATTCACCATTTTATGGCCCAAGGGGGATTACAATTGATATGGAAAATGCACAAAATGATGTAAAAATAAACTACTGTATTATTATTTTTTTTAATTTAATTAACCATTTTAAAAAAAAAATAGCAGGGTTGGGGCCCTCCCTGGTGGCGCAGCAGGTCTAAAGCACAGCTCTAAGAAGCTAAAGCCACTTCAGCATAAGTTCAATCTCAGCCCTGGAGGTGACCCACATGGCGTGGCAGACCTATCCTGACCCACCCGCTGCTCCACTTAGCAGTGTTCTTCAGCCTGCCTGTTCTGTCTCTGATGCATCCCTGCACCTCTGGCCTGTACCCCAGTTCTGTACGCATAATAAATTAATCTTAAAAAAAAAAAAAGAAGGAATAGTTGCATGCCTTCTTGGTTTAGTTAACCAAGTGTAAAAACAGGTGTAAAGTTTAGTGACTTTAAAGACTCATTAGCTACAGTTTGAAATGGTTCCGTCCAGGATAGCAAAGCCTAAATTGCTAGGAAAATCAAAGGGTCCTGAAATGTAAATAAACTTCTGGATCACTATTATGATATCAAGAAAAACCCCTACACTGCTATTATTTTTCACTCTTGGATAGGATAATTTTGAAATATAAAATCAAACTTCTTTTCTACCCTTGGCCTTGGGTTAGTACTAATGAACTGTCAGACTCCCTCAAAACATATACATTACCCCAAAACATAAAATTTCAAACAACCCCAGTGAAAAATTGTTTTATTCAAATACTTTAAAAATCCCACCCACTGCTCCCCTCAGCAGTGTATTTCAGTAGATCTGCCTGTTCTGCTCCCCGCTGTTTCTGGTGAATCCTACACCTCTGGCCTGTACCCCAGTTCTATATGCATAAATAAATCTTTTTTCTTTAAAAAACCGGGCCTAAACCAAAATTTTTTTTCAAGAATCCAAATGTGTGAACTTCCTATCCCCACTCAATATCTCTTGCAGCATTCTAATGTATAATTTTAATGATCGTTAAAAAAATTCTTCCATTTTTGTGTATCTGTAGTATATAATACGTTTAATTTTAATTATCTAAAGAATTTAACTTTTCAACCTATCTAGCTAAAACCTTTCAAAGGTTAGGTGACTACTGACAACCAGATTTACCTTGAAAGCCTCTAAGCTATCAATCATTAAAAAAGTTTGAAAAAGAGGCCCTCCCTGGTGGCGCAGTGGGTTAAAACACAGCACTGAGAATCTAAAGCCACTTCCGCATGAGTTCGATTCCCGCCTGCCCCGGAGGTGACC